GGAGCAGAAAGCCTCACGATTCTCTCATGCTGTGGCTGGCAGATTCAGTTGCTGACCTTGTGGTTAGCAGCTCAGTTTGTAATCCACTATGTTAACTCTGTTGTTACAAAGTGCCTTCAAGTCAGTTTTAATTTGTAGCAACCCTGTATAGGGTTTCCATGGAGTCGCTAGTGAGCTTGAACTGCTGACATTTTGGTTCAAAACGACCTTGCAATCCAGCGCATTAACCCACAGTGGTACACCAGGACTCCAAACTAACTCTAAAAAATGTTTTTTCTGTCTTCTTAGCTGGAGAGCTCCTTGTAAGCTAAGCAAACCTTGTAAGCAGCTAGGGGGCACTCTATATATGTTTTTGTAGACAAACATATTAATTAACACTGTTATACATGTTGTTGTTGTTGTTGCTACATGCCATCAATTAGTTCTGACCCACAGTGACCCTGTAGAGAGTTTTTGAGAAGCGGCTGCAGAGTTGGAACCGCTGACCTTGTCTTTCAAACTGACCTTGTGTTCAAGGCTTATCCTACAGTGTCACACCAGGGCTCTGTTATATACATTGTGTGGGATGGGAGAAAGATGAAGGTTTCTGCTCCCACTAAGATTTAAAAGCCTTGGAAATGCTATACAGGGTCATTATGAGTCAAAATTGACTCGATGGTACTTAACAACAACTTACCCACAGTGACTACAACTTCTGATTTTTCTCTTTATAGACTATAATATCTATTTTAATAATAAAAAATACATATATATTTTCTTCTGAGTTTCCAGTTCCTTATTTTATAAATGCCGACACCCATCTTCATGCACGCTACTGAGAGACAAGTGATACAAGGAGATACCGGAGTATCAAGACACACTACTGCCCTTGTACTCTCAGACTGAGATGCCTGCCCATAGGGGCACGTTTTAGTGAAAAGTAAGAAGCATTATGTTGTATCTTAAGTGCCGTCAAGTCAATCCCATCCCATAGCGACCCCGTGTAGGGCTTCCAAGGAGCAGCTAATGAGCTTAACCGCCATCCTTGCAGTTCAAATGGCTTTGCAGTCTGGCACATTAACCCACAGTGCCATACCAGGACTCCAAGAAGCATTAAGGGAAACATAAATAAATAAATAAACTTTGCTCTTCATATTAAAACACAAATGTACACTGTGGAATATGATGCAAAATATGCATGATTTTTCAAGATAAAAAGGTGAGATGTTAAAGTCATTTCCTTCGGATGTGCTTGCTGCTTCCAGAGATGGTTTGGAATCCTGGTTCACAGAGATAAATATGATGACTAGCAACACAGATGGCTTTTAGATTCTCTGGGTTTTAAACAACTGCGGGACCAAAGCTTGGTTTGAAGTGGGTGCTGGCTGTACCTATAATCCCGGAATGTGTAAGCCGGAGGCTCCTTCCAGCATTCATTGGCCTCTGGATCCAGCAGGCAGTTGTCAGCATGAATGGGGTGACTGAGGTCATTTCTTCTATCTTGCTGACCTGCCAAAAAATAGAACAAGAAAGGATGAGCGATGGAGTGCAATGACCTCCAAAGCAAAGCTGACAATCTCCTCTTCCATTCCTGCTGTCTCTTGCCAACCTTGGGACGCACAAGGCCAGGCAGAATAGATGAAAGAACGCTGAACAGGTAGTTGAAGATGCTGGTCCACTTAAGGCATGATCTTGCTGTGAAACCTTTGGCAAGTCAGACTTATTTTTCTTCAGCTCTACAAGTGCTCTGATGCAAATATGAGAGCATAAATTCTACACATTTCATCGGTTTTACTTCATGTGCAGCAGCAAAAAGATAAGGAGGCAGTGGAACTGTTATTTTGGTTCAGCTGAAACTTCACAAGTATAAGGTCTACTTTAATGGTATAATTCTTCCCTCATCAGGAGACAGAAGAGAGAATGTACAGAGGAAATAATAGCAAGCAAGAAGTGGAGTGGTCTCTGTCTTTTCCAGAACATTTCTCTCAACAATCCCTTCATTTTCTATTCCAATCAGTGCTTGTAGATATAATGGTAACTGGAATTTCCAGGTTTCTGGTTCCTCGAAAAGACACTCAAGGAAGCAAATATTTTGTGCATGGCAGGAGAGTACAAGTGGAGTTAAAACAGAGAATAGACAGAAGTGAGGGTCTTCTGAAAATTCAGGTGGTCAAAAGAAAGAAAACATGGAACGGAAAGAGTAAGAGTCAGTAAGCTTCTTTTGTTTTAAAACATTAACACTCTCAAAACTCTTAGTCTGGAATGCAATCAAGCTTTGTTTTGCATTGTTTCCTTTTGTGGGAGGAGGGGAAATGTTCAGACACTGAAATCTCACCCGATAGTGCAGTTCGGCAGACCATGTGCGTATAGGAAAAATACAGGGTTGAGTTCAGCATGAAATAGGATTCTACAATCTTTCGAGCCTTCTCGCTGATGTCATAAAACAGACGGGCACTCTTCAGTGGGACTCGACCTTCATAACCAAACTGAAGGAAAACAAGAACATTAGAAACCATTGGGTGGGTTGGAGGGCTTGAGAAAACAGATACCAGGTTTCATTAAGCTGGGACATTATGACTATCTCTGTGTTGACTAGAGAGGATGCCGCTACAGATTTGGGGATTTGGGTAAGACAGGAAAATCATTAAAATCATTTCTTTCCAATCACACAGAGAAAGTTAATCACTCCCACCTTGTTCTTCTTGTTTTGGTCATTCCTCTCTAACAACACCCCTTACCAGAGAAGAATGACCCGTTTGGATATATTTTCATTATTGACCATCAGCTAGCTCTTTGAGGACAGGAGTTGTAGCTTACTTGTTGGGTACAATGTTAGGAAATACAAAGAAAGGGTGGGACGAATAATTGAGAACAATGAAGGTGACATTCCATGCTTGCTCCCTTTAATTGTCCTCGAAGGTGTATATCGTAACTCTCCTTTTTCTTATATCTCTCATTCACAGATGGTCTTGGATTGACACTTAGGAACCCAAACTCCAAAACCATTAAAACTTTACCTTGAGTGCTTTGAGGACAGTTGCACCTTCAAACTTTTCATTGGGAGTATGGGGAGAAGTTTTCCCTCTGTATCCATCACCAACCAGCATGATTCCCTGGAAGCAAAATACAAGAGGATGCTTTATCTGTGTTAGCAATGGATTCATCAGGTCTCCCTTTTTGCATTGGTGTCAGAAAGCTGAGAACTAAAGTCAACATTCTGAATTCCACCCTATTGTTTACAGATTCCTGGGCTCATTGATTTTCCCAATCAAATGAGCTTTTTAAGCTAAATTTCATTCTACACTTTCAGTGTAAAATACAGCCATTAATTTTTAAGGGGTGGTAGCATATTTATGATTAGTCTACAAGTTTATTTTTTATTATTAAAATAGTGTTACTTATGTTTTATGGCTTTTTCTATTTTTCAGGGCATTTATATTTTCACTGGACTTTCCAGTGATATTATACAACAGTACCATGGCTGCTGTCTTAGGAATTAAGCCAATGGCTATTCAAGATCCTTCCCAGAAAAAGCAAAATTGCAATCATCCCAGTCAGTAGACTATGACTGTGTCTCCATAATCAATGTTCCTGTCCTAAATCTCAGTTCTTGTTCAGTGAAATTTCAGGTCTTGCTCCTTAGCTTCAAATGAGACCAGGACCAAAGAATGTTGCTTAAGTACCGCCAGCCTGAGGCCAGGCCACGAGAGTTGGACCCCCTCCCTGTCCCAGTCCTCACACTGGCCACACTGTGGAGCTCCCTGCACTGCTCTTCCGATAGGACGTTATCCAGGAGGACTCGTTGAGTTCCGTTCAGCTGCTCTGAGTTATAGACGAACGTGATGTTCTCATACAGCAGAGGGCCACCTGAAGGGACAGGACACCCATCAACTTTCAGTGGGCAGTGAAGAGAGGGTCAATTTCTTCAGGAGTATTTAGGAATGCAAAGACAGGATGAATTCAGAAGTTTTATAAACACAATACGCAGTCAGGAAAAAGGCAGATGTCTGACTACCAGGTTTGTCAAATGTCATAATAATATATTACATTTGAAAGAATTTGGGGATTAATAAAGCATTTTTAATATTTGATTCTAATGATGATCCAGCATAGTAGACTGAGCATCTCACAGAATCCACCTCTAAGATTATGTCTCAGAATTTTCTGGTCACCTATGCTCACCCTTCTCCACTGCCCTAAGTTCATCCTTCTATGACACCATCGTATATTATTATTACTGAATGTCTGTGACCGTCAGCGTGACAAACATATCTGTTTCACAGGCACCCAGAACAATGCCTTCAACCAGGTGGCTAGAGTAGCAAATGCACCTTCAGGTCAGTCACACCCAAGTCACCTGACTCAGTCTTCTTCCTACTTCCAAATGACTTAATATGTTTTTCCTTTTGGAGTATTCTCATCTTGTCTCTGGGCAAATGCTCTACATTGCTGTTTTACACAGGAGGGTTTACTATAGGCACCTTCTCTCTCCCCAAATGGAGTGCACAACTTTATGAAGTTAGTTAGACTCATGGAAACGCTTCAGACATTGATATTACTGGGTACGTTTTAGGTGGTGAAATGATAAAATCCAGACTTAAGTTCTTTTTCTCCTAAAGAACAGAACTCATAGGCAAAGCCTCCGGTCTTATGGTGAGGAAATCAGAAGGTGTAACAGAGCACAACCATCTGGGAATCATACAAACTGAACAGAATGGGAAACAGTGCTTTTCAACTCTTCATAATATTCCCCAAGGGACACCAGGGGGCAGAATTTTTGCCATACAGGTGGGAGCGTGAGGTTCATTTCCAACCAACAGACTTCCAAGCTCCAGCTGCCACCCACCAATCTGTCAATGGAGGCTTGCTTTTTGCTATGTTGTTTATAGGTTTCAGTGGAACTTCCAGACTAAGATGGATTAGGATGAAAAGCCTGTCAATCTACTTCTAAGAATCAGCCAGTGAAAACCTTATGGATCACAACAGTGTGATACCACCGTGCATCGGTGGTCATGAGTCAGGGGCTAACTCCACGCTAACTAACAATGTGGGACCTGCCATATGCTTGTAACAGTGCACTATGGAGGGAGTGTGGATAAAGCAAGGCCTCCCTTTTTCTCTCCAATCTAGTAGCATCATCAGTATATTGGTCTAACCTGCTGTAGTTGGAGAACTGAATGTCTACTTTATCTCTGTAAAATGAATTATTCAAACGAGGTAACAGCACTGGTGGTGGTGGCAGTGGTGTGCTGTGGAGTAGTTCTGACTCGTAGTGACCCTGCGTATGGTTTCTGACGCTGTAAATCTTTACAGGAGTGGAATGGCTGGTGCTTTCAAACTGACCTTGAGGTTAGAAGCCCGACTTGTATCCACTACTCTATCAGAGCTCCTAAAGCAACAAACAACACTACTAAGTGTTTATTACTGTAGTTAGGATGAAAGAATCACAACAGACTATAATTATAATTAATAGAATATTAAAAGAATAAGACATTATCCAAACCAATGTTTCTCAGACCACTGGTTCTCAATCTCAAGTAATAATCATGTATCTGTTAAGCAAAGTGTTCCCCAAGGAACATATTACTTTTACCAAACATTTACTTCATTCTATGCAATCACAAAACTCAGTCTATATTATTAAGTTTTATGGTTTTACGCAACAATAATACCAAAACCAATTTACAAGATTAAATTAAAGCAAAGCCATAAAATCAACTAAATTAAAATAAACACTATTAATGAAATGATTGATGTTATTCACTGAAAATAAAAATCAACTTTCAACTTGGAACTTATATTAACTCTGCTGTCCCAGGTTATTTTCAGCCAGCATTCTTTGTAGTCCTTTTGTTGTATGAGAACTCTAGTGTATCACAATGATTTCTGCTTAAAGTTACGTAAAATTTTCATTCATAGAAGTGTACTGCGATGCTATTTGACCTTCATCTACTGTGGAGTACGTTCTTTATAAATCCATTCCATCTGATTTTTGTTAGTCTGCAGTTGGTTCCAATATAACCATAGATGCTCCCACACTGAGATATGTAAAAACAGGTAACACCTGACAATCAGATGGTCCTCCACACAGCCCACTAGTTGCCATATTTACTTTTTTCCCCCCAATTCTTGCCCAAATTTATAAACAGAAGGCTATGTAATTTCAGAAGTCCTGGTGTGGCACTAGAGGATAAATAGTGGACTGCGAATCAAAAGGTCAGCAGTTCAAACCTATCAGGTGCTCCTCAGAAACCTTGTACAGGGTTGCTATGAGTAGGAATCAACTCAATGGCATTTTGCCTGGATCCACCATCAACACTCATAGAAGCAGCAGTCGAGAAATAAAACAATGTATTTCATTAGGCAAAGCTGCTGCATAAGACTGCTTTAAAGAATACAAGAGCAAAGATGTCAGTTTCAGGAGTAATACCCAAGCCATGGTATTTTCAATAACCTCATATGCAAAGTTGGAAAGTGAATAAGGAAAACCTCAGAAGAATTGATGCATTTGACTTATAGTGCTGTAGGAGAATATTAAAAGTACTATAAAATGCCAAAATAATATATCGATCTGTGCTTTAAGAAGTACAGCCAGAATGCTCTTTGGAAGCCAAGAGGGCCAGCCTTCATCTCTCATACTGTGCACATCCTATCAGAAGCGACCAGTCCCTGGAGAAGGATATCATATTTGGTAAGGTGGAGGGTCAGAGAAAAAGAGGAAGACCCCCAACGAGATGGATTGGCACAGAGGCAGCAGCAATGGGTTCAAATGTAGCCATGACTGTGAGGTTGGTGCATGACCTCCTGTTAATAGGGTCGCTGTGAGTCAGTACCAACTCAGTGGCACCTAACAACACCATCAACAAATGCTGTAACACTCAAATACTAAGTGAAGGAACAGATAGCAACATGTACTCTTAAATGTCTAAACTCTGACAGGTTCAGGGCGAATCTCAGCTATCTGCCTTTCCTGAGGCAGAACAAGTCTCAGTGAACACAAGAAATTATGCAGAGCCTATCAGAAAAAAACCAATTATCAATTGTCCACCTAACAACCAAAAGGGACCGACAACAACAAAGGAAAAATAAACTGTGCCATTCAAAAGGCAAGGCTATCAGCTTACAGATGACTGGTAGCAGAGCAGACAGGCGAATACTCAAATAAAAATAAAAATGTAATCCAACAAGCTGTGGTTCCTGGGGACTGGCTTGATGGCTTCAGCCAACTCCTAACCACAGCCCAAGGAGATTTAGTTAAACTTAATTCTTCTCTCATTCATAAAGTATGTGCCTGGCTCTGACTCTCTGGTTGCAGTAAAATAGGATCATCTAGGAAAATACTCCTTTGTGAGGAAGGCCATCCAGTGCTCACTGCCTGTCTTTCCATAAGAGTCATCAACTGACCATAAACACCACAGTGTCATTCAAAGCATCTCAGGGGGTGTGCAGTCCAGGGAGCACTCATGAGGACATCCCTCTACAGGTTGGAAAATCCTCCTCATATTCATTTCCTCAGAGAAGTTATCATCCGTTTTTAGAGAGGAAGATCTTAAAATCCAGAGATTTCTGAATAGCCTGCTCTCCGTATCAGATCAGACAACACTGGAAACTTGCCTCCTAATTCCAAGTCCAGTATCATTTCTACTGCATCTTCATCGGTTCTGGGATTATTACCTAGCAGGCCTTTGGAAAGCTGGTGGATAAAAGGAGAATGGATGATGCAGTAAGTTGCTATGCAAGTTCTATTGGCTGGAGTCACACTAGGATGTAGCCCTGCATCACCCTCATCTTAATGCTTAATGCTTCAGATCTGTGCAAAGTACAACTACTACTAAACACTGTTAGGAAACCAAACAGATGACAATATCTCCTTGTAGAAGACAGGAAGCTCTGACATATACTCTACATTGTGAGCAGAGCTCCTTTCTGGCCTCCCTGGTATTTGCTTTCATCCAAACAAATATACAGAAGTGTTGTTGTTTGTGACCTTTGTATCTACCACGGTTTTAAATTTAGATCTGATTTGGATGGCTGGTAAATGGATAGTAGGGTCTGTGGTCGTTCCCAGAGAGCATCTTAAGGGCTACTGGCTAATTCAGCTTAAAAAAAAAATCCCAGAAATGGTTGCATTTGGTGGTCCAGTCAAGCATGCTCTTTCTCAATCAAATGCTGTCTTCAATTCTAATCTTCCCATCAGCCTCCCTAGTCAGTTACTGATCTCTGGTAGCCAGATTTTAAAAAATGCTTTGAAATTTGGCAACTGTACTGGAGTTTCCCAAACCTTTATGCAAAGTGCTGACTTATTGGCATGCACTTCCTGGGTGATTTCTCGGCCTGAAAACCAACATGAACTCTGGCTGACCAGGAATCTCTTTGGCAGTTGTAAAGCAGCCTGGGCTTTGTGAGTACAAACTGAGGTTCAGGTCAGAACAGATGAGCACACTATCCTCTTAACTGCCTCAGACTGATTTGGAAGCTAAAGAAGGAAAAGGCAGGGGAATGTGAGTGCTGCAGAGAAGCAGACATTTTCACATCAGCTGTAGGAATGTGCTGACCAGCAAGCTCACTGGGGAAGGGAGTATGAGAACTCCCTGTGAATAGGGTTTTGTTTGTTTTTATCATCTTAGAGCAGTTTTAGGTTTACAAAAAACGATGCAGAAAACACACGATATTTCTATCCACCTCCTCTCCCTCCTTGCTCACAATGTCCCCTATTATTAGTATTTTGTATTCATGTGGTACAATTACTACAACTGATAAACCAACATTGCTGTATTATTACTAATGAAAATTTGTAGTTTACATTAGGTTTCATTCTCTATGGTAAACATTTCTATGGGTTCTGACAAATACTTAATGTCATGTATCTATCATTACATTTTTATGTAAAATAATTTCACTGTCCTTAAAATGTCCTGCGCTTCACCGATTCATGTCTCCTCCACTTCCCTCTGTACCATCAAAATATTCATTAAAAATTTTTTTTAAATTGCAAATTAAATGGATATTTACAGACAAGATCATCAGGTTCACTTCAACAAATCCTACACTTTGTTTCATCCCAATGATTGCAATCCCCTCCCTGCAACAACAGTTATCTCACTTCCTTCCTGTGGTTCCTATTTCCATTCCACCCTCCTTCCCATTCCTTCTCAGCTTTGTCTGTAGGTAAATCTTGCCGTTTTGATCTTGAATGACTGGCCATTTCATGATGAGCATACATTACTTGAGTTGTTGTCCCCTCTATATACCTATTTACTGGTTGGCTGAAAATAGTCACAAGACTGAGTTCTTGTTCCAGACCTGAAGGGTGGTTGAGCACCAGTCTCAGCTTGCTCCAGTGTCTTTCTGACCAGTAAGTCCACTCTTTTTATACACATATAATTTTGAGTTTTAGTTCACATTTTCTCCCACTCTATCTGGGACTTCTAATGTGATCCCTTTAGAGCAGTTGGCAGTGGAATTTGGGCACCATCTAGTTCTTCTGGTCTCAGAGTCATAGTGAATGATTTTTACCTGTTCCACTGGTCCACTGAACTAGTTGATTCCAAACACCTTCAATTCTCATCTCTGCGTAGAGTAGGTTTTTCAAAAGCTCTTCTTATATTACAATTATTTAATTAATGGGAAATTCATTTTGTATACTGGAAATTTCTATGCTTTGTGCAGCATAGAAAACTGGGTGTAAATGTAAAAGCCTGGGCTCAAATTTTTGTTCAACTTGCTGAAATTTTGGACAAGTCACTTAATTTCCATTAGCCTCAGTCTTCCTTTATTTGAAACGGAGATGCTTTTCTCTCATGAGATTTTGCTAGTATTAAAATAAATGGCATTTAAATTTGCTTGAGAAATAATAAAACTCAAAAGAAATAATAATTGCTAAGAAGTAATACTGCTGTTAGTACTATTGCTAATACTCCCTCACTGCTGTTGAGTCAATTCCAGCTCACAGAAACCCCATAGGACAGAGTAGAACTGCTCCATAGGATTTCTGAGAATAAACCTTTATGAGAGCTGATAGGCTCATCTTTTCTTCCAAGGTGCAGCTGGTAAGCTGACTATGCCACCATGTCTCCTAATATTTGACTGCTATAATAATGTTTGTTGTTGTTGTTAAATGCTGTCAAGTCTGTTACAATGCATAGTGACCCTAAATATAAGGTTTCCAATGAGCAGCTTGTTGGGTTTGAACTGCTGTTCTTGTGATTCAAAGTTCAGTGCTGATTCTGCAGCGCCACACCTGAAGTCTATAATAACGTTTAGCCCTATTTAAAGGCTATTTTTGGCAACACCCCACTGTGTAGCCACTAATTTTGGCCTTATATAGGCTCTCTGTAAAAACAGATAAGAGTGGGTATGGTAGCACTTTTATTGGAAACCAAAGGTAATGATCTGAGCCATTCTTGTTTTTAAGTCTTCTTTCCAGAGTTTCATGAATTGTAATAAATTATTCCTATACTTAATTGTCCAGAGAACATGGGTTCTTGTACTGATATGGATGAAAACTGGTCAAGCCCCATTCCCTTCTTCCTCCTCCATCTAGAAAGGTTAGTGCATTGGTACTTACCCTCTCTTAGGTCTCGTTCTATCTTGGGTGATGACTTTTTTCCCATTGACCATCCATGAACTTCTGCCTCTTCCACATTCACTCCTGAAGGGACCCTACCCATTGAACAAGAGTTGAAATAGCAACTTCCAATTGAATAAAGATGTTCAAAGACAAACTATGTTTTACCTAGGTAGGCAGTATATGATTTCAATATTGGTATATTTTTGTTGTACACAGGTTCATTTGTCTTTCAAGATCAAATTAAATGTCACTGCCTCCATTAAGTTCTTCTCTATTTCCTTAATGAATATGCTTTATTCCACTCTTCTAATCTTCTTAACAGCTTTTATTGAAGTTAGTTGCATGCATAATTTGCCACTCTTAAGATTAGACTTTGAGTGTCAACAGAGCACATACATACATACAATGTGCATTTTTATAATGTTTTGAGCATTGTACATCACTGTGTATTTTATCCTTCTGTAAAATGCCCTGAATCTCTTCCTTTCAAATAAATAGAGTAAGGGACTTCACCATTAAAAAGAAATTTTAATAAATTTCTTATTGATAGATGGAAATTAGCATCCTACTTTCTCTTATTTGGGATCACGGAACATTAGCCCCCAGGAATCACTTCATCCAACCCTCTTATTGGAAGAAAAACTTGAGACCCCAGGCAGTAGATGAATTACTTAATGTCACACAGAAAAGACAAAAAGAGTTGGGACCAAGATGGAGAGATCCTAATTCCCAGCTCAGGACTCTGTCGTAATTACCTCGTGTTGCTTATATTAAGTGAGAATAGATTATGAATATAAAGGTTTCTCCTCATTAAAAATAAACAGTTTTATTCTGAGTGGATGACTCACCGATTCTCATCTTGTCGTCCTCCATATCTGATCCAATAATTCTATTTAAAAATGGAAAAAGCCTCTGTAATGTCACACTAAAACATTATGTGCAGAAATAAGATAAAATAAAATATACACTTAGTTACGCAAAATATGTACAATATTAGGGAACTTGCATATTTTAAAAAGACACAATAATAGATTAAAAGATTAATTTTTCATTCAAAGGAAGGAAAAGTTGATGCACTTTTGGCAAAAAACAAAAGGGAACACCAATGGATTAACAGACAAACAAACAAACCAACAGAATTAGCTGAGTATCCATCCTTTTGCCCAAAAATGTGACTTAGAATTTTCCAAAGGTAGACACTTGAAACGTCACTCACTTCAACTCCTTCATGGATAGAGCAATCTCAAAGTAACAACAACAACAACAACAAAATCCAATATTCTGGTTGGTTAACAATCTGTACAGAATCACAAAGTAAGTCATCTTTCTCAGGTGTTTCTTGGCACAACACAATTTTAAAAAATGTATAACAAATAGGTTGTGGCTGTTGTTAAGTACTGTAGAGTCGGTTCCCACTCACAGTGGCCCTGTATAGGGTTCCCAAGAGTTTTAAATCTTTGCTGGAGCAGAAAGTCTCATCTTTCTTCTGCGGAGCAGTTGGCAGATTCAAACCATGGACCTTGTGGTTATCATATGAAGCCACTGTGCTCCCAATGAATAGGGCTGGATATAAATGTTAAAAATATTGTATTAGAAATACACCAGAAATATTATACAGGTACAAGAGGAAGGAAAAGCAAATAAAGAGAAAGAAGAAAATATACTGCAAGTTATATTATAAATAACACTATCATTATATAAAGAACTTATATAGTAGCCACTGGATAAATGAGAAAAAATAATGAAGATAATAATATGAAAAAAGGTTTATTCTTGGTGGCTATCAAAGAAATCCATTTTTGTATATAATATATGAATAATATGTCATTTTAGGATGTTGTATTTCATTGCTGATAAACAGGTGGTAAGCTGGTGCTTTAATGCACCATTAAGAGTAATGAAGTGTTAGGTAAGCAATTTAATTTAAAGAGCTTAAAACTTTTCATGCTCTTTGATGACAGAGCAATCCCACTCCTGAGAATTTATTCTAAGGATATAGTTCAACAGAGGGAAAAAAGTGTGCATGTATTCGATTTAGTAGGGAAAAAATTCAGAAATCAATCAAATATCCAGAAGCAGAATCGTTAATTTAGTTATTGTACTTTAACTACATATACCAAGTATAGGGATTCTTGGTGTGGTGCTGTAGGATCAGCACTGGACTGTGACCAACAAGGTCAGCAGTTTAGAGACACCAGCTGCTCCTTGGAAACCCTGTACAGGGTTGCTATGAGTCCGAATTTATTCAACAGCACTTAACAACACCAACAATCAACTATATATATAGTTTACACATTTTAAAATACAGAAAATCTAGAAATTGCTTGTGTTTTTTTTTCCTAAACTAAAAGTTAGGACAAAATATATCTACACTACAGTGTCAAGCTCACCAGCTGCTCCTTGGAAACCCTATACAGGGTCACTATGGGTCGGTACTGACTCGATGGCACCTAACAACAACAACATACAAAACAGTGATTGACTTTGAAGGCTCTGGTAGTGTAGGGGTTACGAATTGGGCTGTGAACTGCAAGGTCAGCAGTTCGAAACTACCAGCTGTTCTGCGGGAGAAAGATGAGACTTTCTGCTCCCGTAAAGATCTACAGCCTTGGAAACCCTGTACAGGGTTGCTATGAGTCAGGACTGACTCCATGGCACATAACAACATACATATGTTTGGAGTCCTGGTGTGGTGCTGTAGGATACTGCACTGGACCGCAAGGTCAGTTTGACCCGAATGGTCGGCAGTTCAAGCTTACCAGCTGCTCCTCAGAAATCCTATACAGGGTCACTGTGGGTTGGAATTGACTCAACAGCACTTAACAACAACAGGATATTATGGGAGTCCTGGTGTGACACTCTAGGATAAGCACAGGACTGCTAACCACAAGGTCCGTGGGGTTCAAACCCACCAGCCACTCTTGAAAACCCTATACAGGGTTGCTATGAGTCAGAACCGACTCAATAGCACTTAGCAACAACAAAAATGTTTTACGAATCTTATTTATTATAAATATTATGAATCTTACTTATTATGAATATTGTGAATTATCAAATGAGAGAAATGAAAACCTAAGTAAAAATCCACTTAATAGTTATAGTAACTATTTTTTTCTTTGTTCTTACAGGCTCAGAGTAGGAAAATCCCAGACCCTCTGCAGCTGATTTTATCAGATCAGATTCCATTTTATGACGTTTCACAAACATAGCCAAATCCTAGAAGTGAAGAAAGAAGAAAAAAGTCAGACTTTAATATCTAAATAATAGTTAAGGGATATGATAAATGTTCAAGTGGAAAGATTTTACACTAGATGTCTGAAAAATGGGCTAAAAAAATACTCAGAACCATAAAAATGTCTCAGCTCAACAGACTTTTACAAACCAGCACTCATGTAGAAAAAGAGTACTCTGCTAGTAATAATTAAATCTTAAAGGAACAGAGTACTAAACTCTTTATTAGACTGTTAGGCACTGAGATAGTTAGGGTTTTATGTCAATTTGACTGGACCAGGATTCTGAGTGGTTTGGCAGTTGAGACGTGGCCTTCACCCATGATGAGATCTAATATAGTGTAATCCCCTCTATGATGAGATCTTCTATAAGCAGTCAACTGAAAAGAATGTTACTCACTAGTGTGGCCTGCTTCCAATATACTGGACACTCAGACAAAGCTTGCTGCTCTCTGCTGTATGTGGATCCTGCATCTATCTTGTCATTTGACCTCCAGTTCTTTGGACTTGAACCAGTGGCATGTCCTATTGCCTACCGATTCTGGAAGTCATCAGCAGCTTGCATCTTACCTTCCTGCTTTCTGACTTGTTGATCTTGGTTGATCAGCCCTGCATGTACCTGAATCAGAGGCCTCCAATCTGATACAGACCCACAGACTAGGGGCCTCCCTACTTCAACAATTTTGTGAGCCATTTCCTTGATGTAAACTTCTCTTTATTCATACATATATAAGCCTCACTAGTTTTGCTTCTCTAGAGAACCCAGCCAAAGACAGTATCTTTAAGAACAGTAATGTAGTTTTACTATCTCTCCCTGAGAACATACAGCTGAATAAAGCATTTACTTTGAGAACACTGATCTTACCTCTCTGGCCTCAATGGATTCAGGGTCAATGCTGTCATCCAATAGACTCTCATAGTAATCTACATTGTCTAAGACATCATCATCATCTGGATGGAGTAGAAGGTAAGCCTTAGCACATTCCAAAGCTTTTATATGTTCACCAACTGAAAAGCCAAGGAATTGTAGTATTAGAGTCAGCCTGTCCACAGGATTTCTAGGAGATACTTCAACATGTCTTTGAGAGGTCAGCTTTAGCATCAATATTCAGGAGGATTAGGAGAGACTGGACTCAGTAAGCAGAAACAGTCACCGATAAAAGGAAGGCTACGTTTTCAGGTATTCAAAAGGTACTATTTACAGCAAGCTTTGGTGTTAGATATTTTTGCATAACTCATCAAATGTCTCACATCAAGATATTTGTTAGTAATTTATTTAATCCAGAGAAACTGAGCAGGATTTTAGGAGTTAATTCTGATTTTCCTACTGAGATTTGATTAAGTAAATTTTTTTTAAAATGGCCATCTTACGATAGTTCTTTAAAATATCCCAGAGGATTCCCCCGCACCACAACCCCTCACTATGTAGTTAAAGCAACTCCAGTAGCACTACATTACTAATAGGAATTAGCAAAGATATTTAAACTATGAACTCTTTGCTATAGAAATATTTAGATATTAAAAGAGGAATTTGTAAATACTGTATGCCTTGTTTTCAAATAGATCACAACATTCAGTTTCTTTTGAACTAGTGTTTTTCTTCAGACATATTATCTGAGATGAGTCTGATATTTAATAAGAATGTTTACAATCAGGCAATTGTCTCAACTCTTTTTTAATTCATTGTTCATGACTTGAATAAACAATTTATTATTTGCTATCAATGCCAGAGTGATGAGTAATGTTTGCTTTAGGACAGGGAAAAATTTGCCAACACAGCTTAAAAATGTTGGCTCAAGACTTTTTTCTTATTCTTTTAAAGGGGAAATACTTTCCTTCCAACTGCCTACCACACAAAGTAGGCTGATATAGGAGCCAGTGAGAAATAATGGGAAGGGTACTGAATCAGGAGCTATGATCTCTCACTTAGCCATGTGACCTTGAATAAGTCATTTTTCTATAAAATGAGAACATGATATGTAAACCCAATTAAGCCGCTTAAAGTGTATGAATTATTCTTAAAGATAAGAAAGCATGCCCATTCTCTTCTTCAATTAGATAAACATAAATTGAAACTATCTTGCTATATCATATTTTACCTAATCACCTAGAAAAGATCTTTAAGACTGATCATTTATTCTGCAGATGAGCAATGAAAAAACATTTCATAAAAAGAAAAATTTAGGACATACAATACAACTACAGAGGGTACCTGGTGGGACAGTGAACTACACATTCGGCTGCTAACCACTAGGTCAGCAGTTTGAATCTACCAGTTGCTCCATCGGAGCAAGAAGAGGCTTTCTGCGAATATACAGATTATCTTGAAATCCTACATAGGGTCACTAGGAGTGGGACTCAATCTAATGGTGGTTGGTTTGGTTTGGCCTACTACTACAAATTAATAAAACCATTGATCCAATAGTCACATTTCTAGCAATTTATCCAATAAGCATTTGTTTACAGAAGTGAAATGATGTATGTAAAATGTTATTCAATAGAACGTTGATTGCAATAGCAAATGATTGCCAATAACACAAATGCCCATGAGTAAAGATACACATTAAATAAATTATAGTACAATGATGGTGGTGGTGGTGCAGTGTGCAGTTGAGTCAGTTCCAACTCACAGTGGCCCAATACAGGGTTTATAAGGCAGTGAGTCTTTATGGGAAAGGAACGCCTCCTCTTTCTCCAGAGAAGCAGCTGGCGGATTCAAACTTCTGACCTTGTGCTTAGCAGCCCAGGTCATAACCTACTACTTTACTAGGGCTCCTTATAGTGCAATGATGTTGTTGATGATTAGTGCCAGTGAGTTGGTTCTGACTCACAGTGACCCTATTTAAGGTTTTCAGGAGCAATTGGTGGGTTTAAACTACTGACCTTGAGGTTAGCAGTTCAGTGCGTATCCTACAACATCACACCAGGACTACAAGCACAATGATAGGCAAATGTAAATAAAAAATAATGAGGAAGATTTATAAGTATTGGATTAACTAGGCTGAACCATATGAAATTGCCAAAATTTGACTATTTTTGACCTAAACAAATGACAATTTCTTAAGACCAAAAAAAGAAACCTGATATATATTTATAAGTGAGGAAAGCAATGTATAAAACATGCATATAATACACTATTAAGAGGAAAAGTAAAAAATCAATGTATGGATATATGTGTATTTGGAGCTTATATATAAAACTGTGTGAATATAAAAGATTGTGGATTGTAAAGCATGGAACTGAGTTGGTGGGACAGGGGAAGAATAAAGTCTTTTATAACTACTGGTCTTTGAATCACGGATCATATTGTCATTATTTGCTCTTGAGTTCATTCTGACCCACAGTGACCCCATGTATGCAGGATAGAACTACTTAGCAGGGTTTTCCAAAGCAGATCTCCAGGTCTGTTTTTCAAGGGATCTTTGAGTGAGTATGAGCTGCCAACCTTTTTATTATTACTTGAACACTTAACCATTTGTGCTAGTAAAGGAATTACATTTTAAAAAGTACATTTAAAAATCATATACAGTGATTTCAGTCAGTCTAGTATAACTGTGAGGAAATTATCAGAGTTTAAAGTTGGTGTTCTGTCCACATGTAGTTACACCTCCTACTTCTTTCATCTTGAGCTGCACTGGGGTGAAATGAGAGAAAATTGCTTTGCTGACAAACTGAAGAACACAGAAGACTGCACCACAAAAATACAACATCTGTAATGATGAACAACAACTCTGCAGGTCTTCACTGGTTATCCACGCTTTACCTCGATAGTAGGCAAACTGCAGGTAGTCGTAATGTAGGGGAAGAAAATTCTCAATTGGGGACAGCCGGCCAGGGCGAGTAGCAAGCTCTCTCACACATTCATGTTGACAAACTAGCACCTGCATGTAGTGATCTGGAAGACAGAACCGAAAAGTGTGTCATCCTCACACTTCAATGTCATAGCCCAGAGTTACACAGGATAGTCACCACAGACTTTGCAATTGATGACACTGTTAATCTCACTTAAATACCGAAAAACCTTATTACAAATAAAATAAGTGGCTTGTGAAGGTCTCCTACGCAAAGACTAGTAGAACAATGTTGTTGTTGTGTGTAAAGTCAAGTCAATTCTAACTCATAGTGACCCTATAGAACACAGTAGACCTACTCCATAAAATTTCCAAAACTGTAAATGTGTATGGAAGTAGACTGCTGCCTTTTTCTCCTGCTGGGGAGTTCCAACTGCAGATCTTTTGGTTATCAGTTACTTGGCCACTACATCACTGGTGGTGGCTGTGTGCAGTAGAGTTGGTTCCAACTCATAGCGACCTTGCATAGGGTTTCCGAGGCTATAAATCTTTATGGGAGCAGAAAACCTCATCTTTCTCTCATGGAACAGCTGCTAGTTTTGAACTGCTGACCTTGATGTTAGCAGCCCGACTCGTAACTGTTACGCTACCAGAGATCCTGCTAGAGCTCCTTTTATTATCCAGTTATAAATTAGCCCAACTTCTGGAAAGTTTATACTCTAAAGCTATGTTGTTATTGCTAAGTGCCGTCGAGTCAGTTCTGACTCATAGTGATCCCTGTATAGGGTTTCTAAGGAGCAGCTTATGGGTTTGAACTGCCAACCTTGTGGTTCGCTATCCACTGATGATCCTACAGCGCCACACCAGAAGTTCCCATTAGTACTACATGCTTAATATTTTGTAACGTTTTACTTAAGAGAATTCAAAAATGGTTGCAACAGTACATCAACAGGGAACTGCCAGAAATTCAAGGTGGTTTCAGTAGAGGACGGAGGCTAGAGATATCATTGCTAAAGCCAGAGAACACAAGGCAGATGTTTACTTGTGCTTTATTGATCATGCAAAGGCTTTTGACTGTGTAGGTCATGACAAATATTGTGAAGAATGGGTATTCCAGAACACTTCAGTGTGCTCATGAACAATTGGTACATGGACCATGAGGCAGACATTTGAACCCAACAAGTGGACACAGAATGGTTTAAAATCAGGAAAGGTGTACGCTACGGTTTTATGCTTTCACCATACTTATTCGATCTGTATCCTGAGCAAATAATCTGAGAAGCAGGATTAATGAAAAAGAACATGGCATCAAATTTGGACGAAGACTGATTAACAACTTGTGATATGCAGGTGACACAACCTTGCTTGCTTGCTTGAAGCTAAGAGGACTTAAATTACTTACTGATGAAGATCAAAGACCACAGCTTTCAGCATGGATTGCATCTCAATGTAAAGATAGCAAAAATCCTCATGATAAATGGAAAAAGATTGAAGCTGCCAAAGATTTCATTCTGCTTGGATCCACAATCAACACTCGTGGAAGCAGTGGTCAAGAAATCAAAGGATGTATCACATTAGGCAAATGAGCTGCAAAAGACTTCTTTAAAGTGTTCCAGAGTAAATATACCAATTTCAGGACTTGACTCAAGCCATGGCATTTTCAATAGCCTCATAGGCATGTGAACATTGGACAATGAATGAGGAAGACTGTAGAAGAATCTATGCATCTGAATTACAGTGTTGGAGAAGAATATTAAAAGTACCATGCACTGCCAGAAGAACAAACAAATCTATATTAGAAGAAGTACAGCCAGATTGATCCTTAGAAGTCAAGACGATGAGACTCTGTCTCTTTTACTTCAGATATGTTATTAGAAACATGAGCAAAAGAGAGGACGTCTCCCAATGAGATGGCATGACACATTGGCAGCAGCAATGGACTCAATCTTAACGATTGTGAGAATGCTTCAGGACCTGTCAGTGTTTCATTCTATTGTGCATACGGTCATTATGAGTCAGAACGGAGGATTAGACAGCAAACACTTAACAACAAAAATTGCTTTCTTAGCTTGAAAGGAGTAAAGAATATGAAGCACATAGCTCTTAGCTCTGGGCTCTAGCTCATCAAAGTATGGGCTGAGAAAACACATGTGACAATGATCCAGAGAAGAAAATACCTTCTATATTTTCCTCCAACATTGCTTTCTATAATGAAGATGGAGGCACCCCTTTTCAAAGAAGTGCATAGTTTATTCACGCTGGCACCAAACTGGCTCCCTTGAGGGTTTGATAAAAGTGTCTGACCTCATGCCTTGAAAACTTATTTTACCACTGCTGACTTCTCTCAAAAGCTTCTGTGTTTAGGGGGAGCGCATCTCTGATCTCGTTAATATTGCAAAGGGATCACAAAATACAATAGGAAGGAAATGTGTGTTTCCTGGTGTGAAGCAAAATGTGCCAGGTTTCACATAACCTGGCTAACCCAAACCTATATAGGACACCTAATAGAATCCCTGAAGTGCAATGGTTCTTAACCCTAGCTTGAAGGGGTGAAGGAAAGAAAGAGTTCTATTCATTTGATTGTTGCTGTTATAAGTCATTCGAATTGATTTTGACTCATATTGACCCCTGTGACCGAATAGAACTTCCCCATAAAGTTTCCAAGTCTGTAATTTTAATGAAAGCAGATTACCTAGTCTTTCTCTTGTGAAGTTACTAGGTGGGCTTGAACTACAACCTTTCTATTAGCACCTGAGTATTTAACCATTGTGACACCAAGGATCCTTGTTAATGTGATTATCATGCTATAAATAAATAGCTAGTTGTTTACTTCTTAAAAGAATACCTTCATTTTAAGGTATTCATGTTATCTCCTATTTAGCTAGCTATTTGTACTCCTCTTGATCTTATAAAGATCTTATAACATAAAGATCTTTATAACATAAAGATGTTAGGAGTAACATATACTCCTAATTCCAAATGGCAGGAAAAAGGAAAATGTGAGAAACACACTCAACAAGTATCCCAAATCGGAATGAAAATATTTTTTTAATCAAGGCAGTATACAAATAGTAGTAAAATAAGCATGATACAATGATATCCTTTGGGGTTCACCAAGCACCTCTATTAAAAAACTGCATTCAGAAGCCATTGGTAATTTTCATCACTTTTTAATGTCTTGTTGACTTCGAATTAAAATATTCTGGCATTCTATATACATTCTGTCATTAATATATCTTAAAATGTTTGATGACTTTTGATATAGAAAGGAGAGGAATGCAACTAATAAAAAAGCTATATGCCACTTCAAATTATGTAAATTCATGGGTGGTTCAAAACTGCCCAGGTGTAAAACTGACAGAATGTATATAGAATGCCAGAGTATTTGAGTCCTGGTATGGCACTGTAGGATAAAGCACCAGACCCCAAGGTCAATTCGAACCACAAGGTCGGCAGTTCAATTTCTGGCAGCTCCCTGCTGATGTACTATTGCAATAATTTTTTAATTATCTTCAGCAGAATTTTACTTTCATGTGATATTGACCCTCCACTTTACCAAGCATGATGTCCTTTTATTAAGGGCTGGTTCCTTCTGACAGTTAGGCAAAAGTAAGAGAAACAAAATGTCATCAC